TACATACCCATACATACCCATACATACCAATACATACCAATACATACCAATACATACCAATACATACCAATACATACCATTACATACCATTACATACCATTACATACCATTACATACCATTACATACCATTACATACCATTACATACCATTACATACCATTACATACCACTACATACCACTACATACCATTACATACCATTACATACCATTACATACCATTACATACCATTACATACCATTACATACCATTACATACCATTACATACCAATACATACCAATACATACCAATACATACCAATACATACCAATACATACATACCAATACATACCAATACATACCAATACATACCAATACATACATACCAATACATACATACCAATACATACATACATACGTACATACATTACATACATTACATACATTACATACATTACATACATTACATACATTACATACATTACATACACTACATACACTACATACATACATACATACATTACATACATTACATACATTACATACATTACATACATTACATACATTACAGACACTACATACACTACATACACTACATACATTGCATACATACATACATACATACATTACATACATACATACATACATACATACATACATTACATACATTACATACATTACATACATTACATACATTACATACATTACATACATTACATACATTACATACATTACATACATACATACATACATTACATACATTACATACATTACATACATTACATACATTACATACATTACATACATTACATACATTACATACATTACATACATTACATACATTACATACATACATACATTACATACAATACATACATTACATACATTACATACATTACATACATTACATACATTACATACAATACATACATTACATTACATTACATGACATGACATTACATTACATACATACACTACATTACATTACATTACATGACATGACATGACATTACATTACATACATACACTACATTACATTACATTACATTACATGACATGACATTACATTACATTACATGACATGACTTGACATGACATTACATTACATACATACATACATACACGCACATACATACGTACGTACGTACGTACGTACGTACGTACGTACATACATACATACATACATACATACATACATACATGCCATACATGCCATGCCATGCCATGCCATGCCACTCCATGCCATGCCATGCCATGCCATGCCATGCCATACCATACCATACCATACCATGCATCCATCCATACATACATACATATAATTATACATATTTTATATTTATGTGTATATATATATATGTGTATATATATATTTATATGTGTATATATATTTATTTATTTATTTATTTATTTATATTTTTACATTGTAGATGCATGGATCGTATGGCTGTAACTAGTTGTAAGTAACGTGGGTTCACTAAAGTGCCTTTACGCTGCGCGTCGAGAAGCACACATTGAGAAGAGCGCAATAGCTTTGCAACCAACCCCTTCCAGTTCAGGGAAAACAAGACCACCTACCCATGTGCAGCATGCACATCAGGTGACATGCGAAGCTACATGTCTATCGAAGGAAGTTTAGAAGTCAAACTTCCGACAATATGGACAGATGAAAAAGCAAAGGTGGGGAGAGTCAGAGAAGAGAAGAGAAAACAAGAGAAGAGAAGAGAAGAGAGGAGAAGAGAAGAGAAGAGAAGAGAAAGAGTCAGAAGAAACAAGATCAAGGTGCGCGAATAAGTAGAAAAGTCGCGAAACACTGCGCTTTTCCACTGTTTTGTGGCTCCGGTCGAAAGGTAGGGTGCGGAGCCATCTGGTCAGCTGAGAAATGAAAAATTGCACGCCGTTGTGGCGAGTAGCAGATTTGGAAGCCAAAACGTTCAAAACACCTCGGGTTCGGAACACTTTTGGAAGTTGAGATGTTCAAAAAAATGCACGCCGTTGGCGCGAAGATGCGCGAAGTACATTTCGAAGTCAAAGTGGCAAAAACACCACATGTTCGGGCCACTTTTGGAAGTTGAGATGATGAAAAAGTGCACGGCGTTGTGGCAAGAAGCCCATTTCCAAGTCAAAATGTTCAAAACAATGCAGGTTCGAAGCACTCTTGAACGTTGAGATGTGGAAAAAGTGCACAGCGTTGTGGCGCGAAGCATGTTTCCGAGCAAAAATGGTAAAAGCATGTAAAAGCACCTCAGCTCCGGACCACTTTTGCAAGTTGAGATGTTGAAAAAGTGTATGCCGCCGTTGTGGCTGGAAGCACATGTCGAAATTATGAAATGATGAAATGATGAAATGATGAAATGAAAATTGTAAAAACAGCACATGCTCGCGCCGCTTTTGGACGTTCAAGCGTCGTTTTGCGTGGCAGCACACCCTAGGGATTCTGCACCTTGTCAAAAGTGGGTCAAGCGCGTGGGCTTTGTAGCAGTTTCAGAAACGATGGCAGGCGTGGGACGTTTGAAGAGGGTCTGCCAAGATGAATTTCGCGTGGCAGGCGCAATACAAAAGACACCTTCATCAAAGAAGTTGGGAGGTCAGGGCGCGTTTGGAGCATCAGATCATCATTCTTGCTAAGATGATTTGGCATGACAGGTGCGGCACTTCGTATGACCTGGCCTCACTTTTTCGTGGCGGACGCAGTACTCTAGAGACATGGCGTGGGCAAATAACAAAACGCATTGGCACGAGGCCGTCAGCTCTGCACCCGACTTTCCATCTTTGAAGGAAGTCTCGCAGAATTGCTTTGCTTTGATGTTTCCAGCTTCAAAAATGGAGGAAGTCTCGCTGAATTTCCCTGTTTTGGAGCTAGTAACTTTTATTTTTGAAGCATGTGTCGCAGAATTGCTCCGTGAGATAGACAGACTGACAGACAGACAGACAGACAGATAGATAGATAGATATGGAAATGGATGGATGGATGCATGGATGGATGGATGGATAGACAGACAGACAGACAAACAGATAGATAGATAGATAGATAGGTAGATAGATAGGTAGATAGATAGGTAGATAGACAGATAGGTAGGTAGATAGGTAGATAGATAAATAGATAGATAGATAGATTAGGTAGGTAGAAAAAAGATACATATATCGATGGATAGATAGACAGATAGAGAGATAGAGAGCCAAACAGATAGCTAGATAGAGAGGCAGATAGATAGAGAGAATGAGAGAGATTGGCAGATAGATAGGCAGATAGAGAGATAGAGAGATAGAGAGAGAGAGAGATAGATGGATGGATGGATGGATAGATGGATGGATGGATGGATGGATGGGTAGGTAGATAGATAGATAGATAGATAGGTACATTAGATAGATAGATAGATAGATAGATAGATAGATAGATAGATAGATAGATAGGTACATTAGATTAGATAGGTAGGTACATAGATAGAGAAAGAGAGAGAGAGAGAGAGAAGGAAACAGAGAAAGAAAGAAGAAAGAAAGAAAGACAGAAAGAGAGAGACTCAAAGCCTCAACCACCTGTCGGACCATCAGTTCGCTCTGCCATCCATGCCTCACAACAAGCAAACCTCTCCTATAGATCCTATAGGTGTCCTATCTTTGAAACTTCCGCCACCGCCTTGTGCGGTACTACTGGTAAAGTTATAAGAGTTTTTAAGGGCAGAAGGCAGTTCTAAGAAGATTTTGGAAGATACTAGAGGAACACAAATACACAAACGCTGAAACAGCACTGCCTGATCAAAGACTCTCAGGGGAATTGCAATTGTGCCAGCATTCACGAAATCATCGCGATACTCCATGGACGATGTTGCCTTGGGTAATGCCAACCCTCGCTTTCAAACAAATCGAGATGCCGTACTGCTTTGCCAATGGAGCCCTATGCTGCAACTAAGAGGCTTGCAAAACGATGCAGTTGCATAGTGGCGTAATCACTTCAGAGTCTGCCAGGTGAGTCTCCCCAATTTTCACCAGAACGTCGGAAGGCAAAGCTTGCGCGATTGAGATGTTGAACGCTCCAGGCGCTCCCTTTTTGGAAGCTGAGGCTGTTAAGAAGATCTCTAGGGACTGCAATAGATGGGTGGCAATCTCCTTAGCATCTTGCAGCTGATATCGATGTTGAAGTTGTATGGAATGGTCTGAACGACAAATTACGAGGCCCCAAACACACTCCAAAGCAGCAGCACCCTGAAGCGGCACCCTGCAGCGGCGCCTGCAGCGGCACCAGCAACCAAACTCCAAAGCACAAACAGCACACCCTGCAGCAGCACCCTGCAGCAGCACCCTGCAGCAGCACCCTGCAGCAGCTGACAGCAGCACCCTCAAGCAGCACCCTCCACCGGCACCCTGCAGCGACGCCCAGCATGCCCGCTCCAAAGCGCACATCAAGCAGCACCCTGGCAGGGGCAACTGCAATGCTAAATAGACGAACCCTGAAACGCAGTCAGGGCTCTGCATCTCGAGTTGAACTCCTCAAGGACTTGCACGGCATGATGATCCTTGGCCGAGCTGGCTCGGGCTAGGCATGGCCCAGTCACCAGCATCCCTGGCTAGAATCTAGCAGGTGCTACGTGTGAAACCTGACATCAAGAATGCGTTGACATGGGAGCAGTAGGCACTGGCAGACTCTTCCATTTGGGGTTCGACGTCTTTCAATGGGAGGAGACCTTTGTTCCCTCTGCGGAGGCACAATCCATCTGATATCAAGTCTGGGCCTCAGATGCAGCGCCATCTGAGGATCGTGGAGGATGGTGAACCGGTGAACCACAAATCGCTCGGGCTGCAAGGTTGAGGCTCTGGCGCGTCTGAGCCGTCAAGTGAATCAGCTCTGCAATATGGAGGTTGACCGAGCGGCTGCGTGCATGCTCGTGCAATGCGTTGGAGATCGGCCGAATTTCACCAGAAATTATGTCTTGCAAATGTTTGCCTGGGAAAGGCAAGCCAGAAGACGTCTGCCTTTTCTTCCCCGGTGCCAACCCCAACCAAAAAAATCTGCATCATTTGGCCCACCTACGCATACAACATGAATAATTACACCAAATTTTGCCATTTGCCTTTGCGATTGGAGACGCGGCATCTTGCGTACAAAAACACTGGGCCTACCGAACATGGACCCAAGTCCAGAAGTTCTGCATCGGGTCACTGGTAATCTTCGCCATAGCCGCGAAGGTTCGAGTTGCAGCACCGGCGAGTTTCCGATTCTGAGGGTACAAGTCCATCACCTCGAGCGGCAGCTTTCCATCATCTGTGGTGGTTCAGCGCTGTGTTTTGTGCTTAGGGTTCTCTTGGGCACATCCGCGGTAAAAACGGTAAAAAAACAAAAATGTTCCTTTTCTATCGCGTTTTAAAGTATCTTGAGGGATCTTGAGGGTATTGTGTTCCTTTCTTTTCCTTAAAAAACGATGTAAAAAATATCCCAGAAAAAGCGGTAAAAATCGAAATTGTTATTTTTGTTCCCCATTGTATGAGATGTGGGAGACGAGTGGGAGACAAGCCTAGCATTATGCAACACTATGCAGCCAGCATGCCCAGCAGAATGAGAGACAAGTGAAAGACAAGTGGGAGACAAACGTAAAATCATGCGGCCCAGGTATGCAACCCTTTGAAAGGAGTAAGAACCCCATACAGGTAAACCGGTAAACCTGTTTGGGGAAAAACATATGTAAACTTTCTTCATATGTTGAACCTTTCGCTTTGTAGGGTTGGGGGGGGTAAGTTTCAAGAATGACTCGACATGTCAATTTGTTTCATATGTTGAACGTATTGCGTTGTAGAGTAGAATGGGGGCAAAAATTCAAAAATGACACCAGATGCGCATGCTCTTCATTCGTTCAACGTATTATTTTGTTGCAGGGGAAGGAAGAGCATGTTAAGTGTTCTGTAGGGGAAAGGTGGGTCAAATTCATAACAACGACTCAACATGTCAACTCCATTCATATGTTGAATGTGTTGCTTTGTAGGGTTGAGGAAGGTAAATGTGCACAAATGACTCCACATGTTATATAACTTTCTTCATATGTTGAGCAATGTTGAGCACCTTGCTTTGTAGCTGGTCGCGGGGTAGGGAATTTCAAAAACGACTCAAGATGACAATATTGTGCATGTGTTCAACGTATTGATGTGTAGCGGAAGGAGGGCTGAAATATCTCAAGATGAATCAATCTTTCAACTTTGTTCATATTTTCAACGTGTTTTTTGTAAGGGAAGGAAAGACATTTCAGAAACATGACTCAAGATGCCAGAGGACGGGGCGGTAAGTCTTTAACAATGACACAACATGTCAACTTTCTTCATATGTTGAACTTATTGCTTTGGAGGGTCGAGGGGTGGTAAATGTGCAATAATGACTCAAGATGCCAATTTTCTTCATTTGTTCGACCTATGGCTTTGTAGGGGACAAAGGGGCCGAAAAAAATTGAACTGACTTAGCCTTAAAAGTTTGTTCATTTTCAACGTATTAATTTGGAGCGGAGACAAAGACATAGACATTTTACATATGACTCAAAATGCCAAATTGGTTTATATGTTAAACGTAGTGTCTTGTAGGGGACAGGGGTGGGTACTTTTTAACAACGACTCAACATGTCAACTTCATATGTTGAACGTATTGCTTTGTGGGGTCGAGGGGTGGTAAATGTGCAATAATGACTCAAGATGCCAATTTTCTTCATTAAATCACCGTATCGTTCTGTAGGGATGAAGGTGGTTCATGCGTGTTTTAAGGGTCGAGAGACACTAAATTTCAAAAATGACTCAAAGTGCCAATTGTAATTGATTGTTCAACGTATTGTTTTGTTGTAGGGGAAGGAAGGGACAGACTCAAGATGCCAAGTTGGTTCATATGGTGAACCTAGTGTTTTCTAGGAGACGTGGAGTGCAATTGTTTAACAACGGCTCAACATGCCAACTTCGTTCATATGTTGAGGGTACTGTTTGCGTGTGCGGGGGCTGACGATAAATTAATGACTCAACCTGCCATTTTTTCTGTATGTTGAACGTATTGCTTTGCATCGCCGAGGAGAGAGAATTTCAAAACGTAAAAAATGCTGTTAAACGTATTGCTATGTAGGGTCGGGGGGTAAAATTTCAGAAAGACTCAAGATGACAAATTTGACAATTTGTTCAAGGTATTGTCTTGTAAGGTCGTGGGGTGCAAAATGTTCAATGACTCGACATGTCAACTTTCTTCATATGTTGAATGCATTGCTTTGCAGGCTTGAAGGGGGTTAAGTTCAAAAATGACTCAAGATGACAATTGTCTTCATTTTTCCAACGTAGTGTTTTGTAGGGGAGGGAGGGGGACGATAATTTATTCGAAGCATGCCTCGGCATGCTAAATCTTTTCATATTCAAGGTATTTCAAGGTATTGTTTTGTAGGGCGCGGCAAGGACAGGAAACTTTAAATATGACTCGACTCGAGATGCCAAGTTGGTTCATATTATAGAATGTAGTGTGTTGTAGAAGGGGTAAATCTATAAGAATGACTCAACATGTCAACTTTCTTCATGTTGAACGTGCTGTGTTGTATAGGGCCCAGAGGGGTCTTTTAAAAAATGACTCAAGAGGAATCAAGATGACAGTTTTGGAGCGAGTTGGAAATGAGGTTCCATAGCAAAACTTCCGTAGCAAACAACACAAACAAAAACTGAGTTGGTTTCTAAACTCCTGTTCGGAACCCTGCGGCATCTTCGGAGTCTTCGGAGTCTTCCGCATTGGGCGTCTTCGGGCGTCTTCGGCGTCTGCGGAGTCTTCGGCCCGAATTTGGGGCACCTCTGCTGCCATCAATGTTGCTTATATAATCGCTTCACTAGGTTGCTGTTTAATCGCCAACGTGTCGCCATGAGCTCCCCATCCGCAGTGGCAGGCGTTCGAGCATGAACAGCTGTAAGAAAACCTGTTGGTCAAAGAATTAGTTTGTGCAGTTCATCTGTCCCGTTCGGCTCAAACAAATCTTACGGATTCATTTTCTTTTTTTTTGCTGGTTTGTGCTTGAAGTTAACGGCTCGATCGCTAAATGCTCAAAATGTGGTGAAGCAATGCCAAGTGTCTGCTATACATCTGCGGGCATTAATATATACATATATATATATACTTAGCGTTGTTTAGCAGTAGCTTGGTTGCTCTTGGTGTCTTTTTTGTTGCTAAGTGAAGTGTGTGTGATGTGTTCAAGTATGCATCCAGTCTGTCACTGAAACTATTCCACCACCACTAATGCCAAGGTATTAAGCTCTTTGACAGTGTGACCAATTTTATTTTGGTTTTGGTTATCTATAATAAAAACATTCCACCTGACCACTGAGTCATTCACTCCATGCGTGAACAGATCTGGTTGGCATGGGTCCTCTTGTTCCTATGGTTGTCTCAAAGCATCCACCTCGTCATTATTTCAATGTAAGTGATCAGGGGAACAGTGTTGCCCAGCGTTCCAGTTGATATCCATAGAATGCCTACAAAGGGAAAACATAGTAAGGTTGGATACCCCATACAGGTGTTGTATATAATAAGTTTCAAGTTCCATGATTATATATATATATATATTTTAATGGTGTGTAAATTATATGTGAGCTTAGTCGTGATAAATCCACTTGTAAAATTGTTATTGTAAGCCCTTGGTCAACTTCCACAGCCGAGCGCCCTAGCAGAGTTATTTTTTGCTCAAAATCGTTTTGCCATCGCATCTGCAGTCTGTTTACCTTGCCATGGAAATGCTGTTTTGTCTTTCACCCGCGAGGAATAATATTGAAGGACATCTTAAATACGGAGTTGTCTGCGGACTAGGTCTGATCATTTTTTGATCCTCGAGTCCACGGACCGCATTGAATGAATCTTTATGATTGTCCACGAACAAAGTAACAGATCTGCACTTCGTCTTATGGAGAGGAAAGTCATAGTCTACGGACTGACTTGCGGGTCTACGGACACATCATTGGTTCTGGTCTAAGGACAGGAAAATCATAGTCTACGGACTGACTTGGTCTACGGACACATCATTGGTTCTGGTCTAAGGACAGGAAAATCATAGTCTACGGACTGACTTGCGGGTCTACGGACACATCATTGGTTCTGGTCTACGGACAGGAAAATCTTAGTCTACGGACTCTACGGACACATGCCGTGGGGAGTGTCTGCGGACAATTTTAAATGTCACTGTCTACGGACATGTGTGTGTCAAGTCAGCTCACATCATCTGAGCAATTGCTGCTGCCGCGGGTGCTGCTTGACTTATTATTATTCAGAAAATAAGAAGAGTCGATGTCGCGCCGCCAGCCACTACTGCCAGCCACTACTGTCGTAGTTGCTTGATTTCTTCATTTCGAGGGGCGAAAGCATTGCATTGAATTGTGACTCTTTCTGTGTGTTGCCGTCAGCGGCTGCAGGGTTTTGAAACACGCAACTTAAAACATCTAAGGTATGATCAAAAATTTGAAGATTTCCGCATCTTTCAATTCAAAGCTCCAATACTGTCAATCACATTGAATGCATCTTAAGTAAGCCTTAAAGTACTATGACTATCATCAGATTCTATCAATACAATGAATACAATAAGTTCTTCGCTCTCCAGGGGTTTCCTTCTTCGCGCCATGGGAGATTCTCGCGACAAGTTGAAGCACTTGGTTCCAGGTAAGTTGGTCACTGAACACACTCAGACTTGCAAGCGAGGAGTGCACAAGTGCAGCTTGTGCGCCGTGCAGCAGTCATGGTCACTTTACAAAAAACCATGGCTGAGAGTGCTTCTGGTCGATGGAGAATCCAAGCTCGGCTGCAGCTTATGCGCGAAAGCCGGTCTGGAGGGCCCATGGGCCAACTTTGAACAACCTCCGACTTCCGTGTTGAAGAAACACAACTTGGAGAGGCATGAGAAGTCCAAGGGACACATGACAGCAAGCCAAGATGATCTTTGCGGAGCCCCTAGCGACGAGGCTTTTAAGTCAAGTTTGCAGGGTATGACGCAAGGACAATCTGCGAGACAAGGTGGCGGATCGTCCGATAAAAAAACTCAAGTGCGGTATGCCCTCTCGGAAGCAGTTTGTGCTCGCAACAGGACTTTGCTGGCAGAGTCTCGCTGCATCTCATTGATGAGAGACGAACGCAAAGGAAATCTTCTTGTGCGCTTCCGCGCTGTTCTACCGGACCTAACCACCATCAGTGGCGCGCTTGGCTTGCAGCCTGTGACAGGTTCTGCTGAGTCCATAGCTGAAGCAACTGCTGAAATCATGCAGAACTTCTGCCAACCGATGCGGCAGCCTCCCAGACAAGCCAAGGAAAGCGAGCAGCCGGTCGACTCTGAACTTCTACGGAAGATTCAGGACAGGGTCACCATGGTGGCCAGTGACGCTGCTGCATCCGAACTTTTAGCAGGTGACTTAGAGAGAGGGCGCCGTAGGGCCGCGACCGACTTTCAATCCAAATTTACAAATTGCAAGATCGTCGACAGAGATGCGGCGCATGCATCGACCCGTCTCTTGAAGAGACCATTCCTTGCATTGAAACCTGTCAAAAGTTTGACAAACGAATGGATCCATGGGTCCGAAAGCTTCGCTCAGAAGGTGCACCACAGCCACATCCTCAGCCAATGGTGGGCCAAGGCCGTCCAATGCAAAGAGGACTCCGACTTGACTGGAAACCTTTGCACCTCCATGTCTGCGGCGAAGCACAGGTTCTCATCATACTTGAATCCTCTCAGCCGGATAATTCGGAATTTGCAAGCAGCTTTCAATGTGTGCGGCAGGGTCCAAGCCATGCGAGGTGCTGATGCAACTTGGGCAACCAAGCTTTGCCAAAATTTCAGTTCGTTCAAAGCAGCTTTGCTTGCAATGATTACCGACGCTGCAGCTATCAGCAACGACTACACAAGGGAATGCGACCGTGAAGACATTGATGTTGCTGATTTGAATTTACGAGCCAGCCATTTTGTCCTCTCGGCAAGGTCTCTCTTCGTTGACCGGAAGGTGTTGACACTACCCACTTTCACGAAAGAATTCTTAGATAGAAGAATTCCCGTGACCATTCTTCAGGATGGGTTTGCGTTGGACATCCAAGTTTCGAACCGAGACTTGGACAGGGCTTTTGCAGTCATGGAGGACCCCGGTGCTTAGCCTAGCTTTTCCATGGGGGGGGCTGTGTCAGTTTGCCATTAAATTTGACTGTATCATATCTTGTCGTCGTTGCAGCCGGCTGCAGGAATGGGTGTCTCTCGTGGAGGAAGTCGTCGCGCATGAGTTTCCGAGTTGGCACTTGGCGGCGGCATTTCAAGTTTTTCATTTGTCTGACTGCGTAAGAGGCCGTGACTGCAGTGCGGATGTTTTACGGAACTTGGAGAGGCTGGCTCAAGTGTATTCGGTACCTTTTGAGGCACTGAAGCAAGAGTATGCCCGCTTGCTGCCCATTGCTGCAGCTTTGAAGAAGCAAGCAGGTTTGAGTAACAGAGAAGCATGGAGGGAAGCCCTTCAACGGACAAGCAGTCGGAAAGGTGCCCAGGGAAGGAAGTATGAGGCCACGGCCCTGATACAAGTCATGGCAGCTTATCAATGTTGGACCGCAGCCACAAGTGGAGTGGAGCAACAATTCTCGAAGCTCAAGAGAAGTCCTGTGGAACTTTCCAACGCTTCTGTGGACACAGACCGTCGCCTTGCAATTGTCATGGGCGATGGGCAGGCCAGGAGCCCAGCAGTGCAACCTGAAGTGATTCAAGCCGCTCGACGAATCTACGCTTCCCTACTGTCCAGTGGAAGGTCCCGGCCGCGGACAAAACCAAGGTTCGATTGTGGTGTCACAGGCAAAGTGAAGACCGGATCTTTTGCCGACTGGAACCGCACAAGAAAGAAAGCATTGCTGGAAGCAGTGCAAAAATGCGAAACACCTCCTCGGAAACCTTCCGAGCTGTTGACAGAATCTTCCCAGAAGGAAAGAAATTTCCAGAGAAAACAGGGTTTGAAACGAAAGGCTGAGGCTCTGGCAGATGGCTGTTTGTTGCCGGATGAGGTCACCCAAGAGGTTCAGGAAGAGGCCTTGCGACTGACCAAAGCAAACCGACAAGGAGATGGTCTCAGGAAAAAAAAGACAGGCATACGAAGTGTCCGGTAAATTGACCTCCACGAAGAAAAGGCATCAGTGGGCCTGCCAAGGTCTCAGTGGCCCAGCGTGGTGTTGCTCCAAGATGGAAGGCGGCAAGGCGCAAGCAGTGTCTCAATCTTTGACGGCACATGGGGTTGCGACGAGAACTCAGGAGCCTGGGGGAATCCTTTGTTGGTGAATTGCCTGCCATTGATTTGCACGTTTGTTTTTGTTTTGTTCCTGCCAAGCATCTGCATCTTACTACCCATGTCCAGGACCTGCGGCAAGCCAAGCTCTTCGTGGTCTCAAACTTCGTTAGGGTGCAAAGAAAAGTGCGTTTCATGGCTGCTCTGAGTGGATCCGTCTTGATGTCAGCTTCTGCTTTGCTTGGAGCAGGAGGTGTGAAGTTGACGTTTCACCCGGGTCAGGAGATACAAGTTGCAATCTTCGTGACTGACACTTTCAAGGCCGAAGAGCCAGGAATGACTCTACTGCTACGTGAGGCATGTGCCCGTGGGTGGCAGGCAGTGAGGGCGGAAGATTTGAAAGGCCGCGGGCGAAAGCCCAGTCTCCATCTCAGGGGTGCGGGGGAGGCCATCCCAGCTGGTTTCAACAAAACCAGGGTGAAGTGTTTTACTGTCACCGAATTTTTGCGTTGGCTCACGGCAACTTGTCTCAACAAGACGGCAAGCTCCCGTGTGAAGATAGCAGCTGCTTGAGAACGATCCTGCAACAGGGGATGCTTGCGGGAAAAAACGACATGTGTGGAAAGCACGCATGCAGAGCAGTGTCGGTCTAAATTGCAAACCCGAGAAGCAGAGGCCATGCATTAAATGAATGCCCGTATCAAAAATTCCAAGAGGATGTTTGTTTTCGGTTTTAATACTAGGTACGAAGTAAATTCTTTGGGAGTTCCATTGTGGTCGGCCAAGGCGCAAAACACATGGAAACAAACATGTCAATCAGTCACAGTTGCCTGTCAGAGATCGTCAATGTTGACAGCATACACGACAGACATGAGGACTATATAAGACAATAAAAAGGGTATTATCGGAAACCTATCCCTTTTTTCATGGGGACAGTTTTCCGGAAATCATTTTACATCACAGCCACCATCTTGCCTATACTATAGATTTTCTCTTCTGGCTCTGATATCATATTTTTCATTGGATCCATGTGGGCATGACACCCGGGTTGGTATAATAATAATAATAGGTGATACTGTATAACACCGCATGGAGGACATAGATTTAATCGCTCAATTTGTGGACGATTCCCGCCATCTTTCCTGCCTGATCTACCTGCCGCTGTAACAATCCACGTCTGCAGCTTTTGCTTCTCAGCCCGGTACACAACAGACCGCAGAACAACTCGGCCATGGATAGGGTGCAAACATACCAAGAGGCGTGTTTCCTTGCCTGTGAAAGTAGGGAGGCGGTCGTGTTGTTCGACGACCTCACTGACCGACTACAAGACAACCCTACATTTATCCAGGAACTTGGCCTGGAGCAGCAGGAGGTCGATCGAATTCAAAATGGGCTCAGGAGAATCACGGATCGCTCCTTCGACTTAATGAACAGATTGGCCCGTGGCCTCGCGCAAGACATACCCCAGCCGGTGCTTCAGCCTGACATCACTGAGGGGTCACAAGGAAAGAAGCCTGCGGGCGATTCAGGAACCGAGGGGGCTAACACAAGTCCGGCCTCTGCAGCTAAGGCTGCGGTGGAGGAACCTTTTACTCTTGATGAATCCTGGCGAGTGGCAGAGGCAGCCCACGCGCATGCACCTGCGGTGTTTGAAAGCGTTTTGCTGCCCAAGCCAGAAACGGATTCGCAGGAAGTTTCGGTTGAAGCTCACGAGGAAAAATAAAATAAGCTACGGCTACGGCTTAATGACTTCTTGGGCTCATTACCGCGTCTACGGACGTGTCGGTTTTGCAGTGAAGGTTGATGACGTAGGCCGTAGATTAGTCAGTCTCGCCTCTGACAAAATGAGGCCTACGAGTTTTGGAACAGTGTCGACAGAGACCACTGAAAAGCGTTGAGTGAAAACTGAAGCTGCAGCTCTGACTGAGTTGCTGACGAAGATTGAATTTCCAGATTCAATGATTGGCTTGACTGTGTTCTCCCGTCGGTTTATCTCATTGACAGACAAAACAGACTTTGTCGATCGTCGATTTTAAGCCATGGCTGACAGTTTCATTATTCATGAGTAGAGCAGTTAGTAGTCAGTAATCCCTCGCGCTGTTGCATTGCATTTCTTTTTCCGCAGAGTTTTCAATTCAAACAGAAAATGACAAAAGGCAAGTCGAGCCCGTCTTCCGGCAAAGCGCCTCCTCTCAAGAGCCATGGTCCAAAACGGACACTTCAGAAGAAAGTTGTCGTAGTGAGCAAGGAGGTGCTACGCTCGCAACTGGAGCGGGTTAACGCCTTGGCGTCCAACTGGCTCACTCGATTGGGCAGGCACAAGGCTTCAAAGAAACAGAGAGTGATTCACACTGCATCAGACTGTTCGGGCCACGGCTTGGACCTGATAGCATACAGGCTTCTGGGGCTGCAAAGCCAAGTGCAGCCCGTCATGATGTCAGAGGTCAGCCGACAGAAGGTGTTGTTGCACCAAGCTGTCGCCCAAGAATGTGGCTGGAACTACGACGACCACCAGGTCATTGACATGTTTCTACGGAAAGAAGAAAGCATGAAAACAGCCGACGTTTACGTCGCTGGCTATCCGTGCCCGTCGTACTCCAAGTTAGGAAAACGCCAAGGCGTCTCTGACCAGCGGGGTCTTTTGACCCTGAAAGGGTTGGAATATGTGGCTTTGTGCAGACCCAAGGTGGTCGTGTTGGAACAAGTCAAAGCCATACTCGAGAAGAAGCATTCGCAAATTTGGAATTACATTCTCAAAATTTTGAACAAGCTCGACTATGTGTTCGACCACCAAGTCTTGAGTACCCAGGACTTCGCCATACCGCAATCGCGCCCCCGAGTCTACATCCTCGCGGTGGCCAAGGAGATTTGCGCTGGAACAGTGAAGTTACCGGAGAAGCGGTCAGAGAAGGTTGACTTACACCATTTCATCCAAAAGGACAAGACCGGCTCCGAGGTGTTGCAGCTACCGAGGTACGAAGAACTTTTAGGTAGCAAGATGTGGCGTAAGGGATATGTTCTCGACGTAGGATCTTCGGAAAAATTTCAAGCAGCGATGACAAACTGCGCACCGTGCTTGACGCACACGCGCTTGGGACAAGGAGGATATTATATCCCAAAACTGAGGCGGCGCTTGCTGCTTGAGGAAGCTGGTGCATTACAAGGAGTTCCAAAGAAGGTTGTCAGAGCCATGCAAAGGGCAGCTGAGGAACACAAGCTTCCTGCGCGCACAGTGGATGCAAGCCTTGGCGATGCAATGAGCATCAATGTCCTGGCAAGTGTGTTGATGAAAGGCTTGACACACTCTCGCTTAGTTCAATTCAGTGCACAGGAAGATCATTGGAGATTAGTTGCCAATGGTCCGGACGCTGCAACGCTGAGTGACCGTTTGTTCGACGGAACAGCCTGGGCGGGACCAGGTTTAAAATGAACCTCGTCAGTGCTTTTTTTGGCGGCCGCATCAACGGAGGCGAGTAAGGAGACTGGGATTTCCCCAGTTCCCTTACCCACTCCCAGCCCAGGCCAGACCCGGGTAAGGATAGTAGGGAATGTGTTAAGCATACTGGGACAATCGCCGCCCCATCACGCACGCAAGTTTTACCACTATCCTTACCCACTCCCAGCCCAGGCCAGACCCGGGTAAGGAGACTGGGATTTCCCCAGTTCCTCTACTCATGCCCGTTGGAGCGTAACAGAGCGTTGCCCACTTGTCTTACCCAAGATCCCAGCCCAGGCCAGACCCGGGTAAGCAGCGCGACGTTTAGCGGTAGCACGCCCAGTGTCCTTACTCACTCGTGTTCATGATATAATTGATGATAGGATAATGGTTCATATTATTAACTTTGGCATTTACGATTTTATCATCACTGTTGCACATCATATCCTGTCCCACCTGCTGCATTTCGATTCCCTCTGTGACAGCCATGCCCATTGTTTGCCACTGTCGGCCCAAAGTGTTTTTGTAGGAACTGACAGGAAGTGCTTGACAGACACTGTCCAAGTTGCTGGCCACTGCAATGACCGTAGCAGCCTCTGAGATTCGGAACATTTCCGCATGGCGCTTGAATAAGGCTGAAATGAACGAGCTCGCTGAAAGGGTTAAGAAAGGAGAGGAAGAAGCGGTGGTGAAGAAGGAGCTTCAGACCAAGAAGGCTGTGGCCTGCGAAGAGCGTAAGAAGTCTGCTGCGGCGATTTCTGCCAAGCCTGGATCCACGGGTCCCAAGGCAAGCAAAAAGACTTCGTCGTCGGCTGCAACTCAGTCAGCCACGGCTGCAGCTGCGACTCCAGACCCAACGAATGCTGGCTACTATGCTCTGGTAGAGGCGGACCTCCAGACAATTTTGCAGGAGTTCCCAGGCATTGACCAGGAAATGCCTTTGCCGCTCTCCAAGTCTGAGTTGGACGGATCCAAGACTGGGGTTCAAGAGCCATTTGACTTGGAGTCGGCTCGGCATGCACTTGGGATTCATATGAGTTTTTCGTTGCAGCATTTCCTTGTTCTGGGTTCAGATCCTGGCGTCGCCCACGCCGGGAATTCCGATGAGCCGGAGGAGAGTTCTCGACATGGGAGAGTTTTACTTCCCGAACGGAAAACCAGCTTTCATGACAGGCCGTATGGTGGAGCTTCTGGCCGACAAGTCGGCTCTGAGCGCCAAACCCCAGAACCTTCAGATGCTGTCGCCAGAAGAGATTGTGCATTCGCTGGTGGCTTCCTGCGCTCACGCTGTTCGGTGCCTTGTCTGAATTTAAAGACCTTGTTTAAAATTAGTTTGTCACATCCAGACCATATCACATTCAATAAAAAGCACAACTTCCACGGATCCATCAAGGCGCAAGGATGAGCTCTCCGAGGATCAATGGAAGGAATGGAAAGCACAGTGGCGTGCTGTGTTGCTGAGCGTGCCGGCTTCTTTTGTGGAGACACAGGACCCTTTGCAAGGCCACAATGTGTGGGTCGAGGCATTCAATCGGAGACAAGCGGTGAAGCAAGAGCATGAGTCCATGAGCAGGACAGCAATGCAGATTGCTGTGGAAATTGACCAGTTCAAGACTATGTGCGAAAGTTTGCCCAGCTGTAAATCAAAATTGCAGCCGGCGCAGCTGGTACAGGAGCTTCACACACTTGGCCTGCTGTCCGTGCAGGGCGGCCGCAAGGAGGATGACAGCGATGGCAAAATCACCGTCAACTTGGTGACGCAAGCTCTGGCCGTCAAAAAGGGCATTCTCAGCTCAGCGCGGGCAGTTGAACTTTTGCTGGAGCTGGAACAGTTATACGGGACGCGTTCTCCCTTCCACCAGATGAGTCGGCTTCACGTTCTTTCGACCAAGCCAAGCACAAATCAGATGCGAGACTGGGTGCTGGAGAGCTTGCATGATGGCCTGGCCTACGACGTCTTGCAAATAGGAGAAATTTCCAAGGGCAGTCTTTCCGGAGACAAGCACCATACACTGGTCTCGTAAGTCTTTTTGAAATGAAAAAGAAGGCCGGGTCCACAGAATATGGTGCGCTTTTTTTCTTGCATTTTCCCGATTGTAATTATGTTTCCATGTTTTTTGCCAGGTCTTGGACCACTTCTTCGAAGTGCTGCTTCCGAAGAGCGGTATGGCAGAGGGTGACAGGGCTTTGCTGAAGGAGAAGCTGTCTGCCCATGAGGTGTACCGGCAACATTCAGGCGACGGGGATTGTACCTGGATGGCGCGGCTTAAGAAGTCCGGCATTGACTGCTTTCACTTGCTGGAGGACAGGTTCTTTTGTTTGCAATGGTCCTGTGCTTTTTTAATCATTTCAAACATGACATAGCAATTTAATTGGCACCTATCATCGCAGGACCTGACTTACACCAAGAAGTATGACAACGGCCTGCGACAAGCCACGAGGTCCGGGGGAGCTCCAGAGGCAGTTCTGGAGCACGAACAGGTGAAAGAACAGGTGAACCAGTTCCTCGCCACCTTGAAGGACGAAGAAGTTGAAGTAAAAGCTTTGGCTGCAGGGGCAGCCGCAAACGCTGCAGACCCGGACCATGCAGAGGACGAGCTTCAAGAGGTGCGAAAGCCGCCCAGCCAACACTCTGAAGGGTCTGAGAAATATTGGAAGGCGGTTGGCAACCAAACTGTTCGCACTTATTGCTCTCTCCATGTGCAGCCTAAGACCTTGGACGGCATCATCAGTTTGGTGAGCCAAAGTGGTTTGAAAGACTTCCAAGGAGAGGGAGGTGTCAGCTGCGTTCTGACTCATCTTGACTTAGACGCGCTGGGAGAATCCATGGGCCCAGGTCAGAGACCACTTCTCCGAAAGCGCTTTGTTCCCGACCAGTCCGCCCTCAGAATCTTGTTGCATGGTTCGATGATTGCAAGAAACGGCCAGCGCAAAGGGGACGAGTGCATGGTTCCGTCAGAGGGTGAACTGGTTTTCGTGCACTGTGGCATGGAACGTTCCAGCAAAGAAGCAGAAGCCTTGTTCCGACCGGCTGCGGCCAGAAAGGATCAAGCCATCGAAGCGGAAATGAAAGACATTCTCCTGATCTTTTCTGACACCTCCATTCGGGACCGCAAGCAAAGGGTTCGAGGAGCTTACACCTCCAGGTCCACCGCTTGTCTCTTCTCCGGAGCTCCAGTGTCAACCATGGTCCCGGAGAAGCCATACACTGACTTCTCAGGGCACAACTTTGGAGATGTCTTTGGCACCATTTCCGCCATGCAGGCAGCGGACCTTTGGCATCTGACAAGGACCCCAGCAGAGTTTTTCTCACAATGAATAATGAATAATGAACCAAGCGCATGACATAATGAATCCTTGTCCCTGCAGGAAAGAAAAGGAGGAGGTGCTCACCACAGGCAGGTGCGTGTCGCCGACTGACGCCGCTATGAACAAAGCCAAGGAGGCCTCCAGCGAAAGCGTCTTCAGTGCAGCTTTGTTGCCCTGCTCTTTCTACAGAAGTTTTCTCAAAGCCCACTCTGTGAAAGCTGTGTGCCTGGGAAGCAATCTAACCACATCAACCCTAAAATATTGATCATCCCATGTATGGGTAAATAATAATGTTTCACGTTAATCGCCTGACGATTAAAAATAATATCCCGAATTATATCACATGATATCCTGAATCAGAATTCCTCGCGCATTTCATTTCAGGTTGGACCTCAGCACTTCTCAGGGAGAGTTGGCAAAGGCCTGTGTGGCCGAGCGTGTCAGCTACCTCGGGCTGACGCTGTCTGACTCACATTCCACTCAGGTGGAAATGATTCTGACCAACTTTGTCGTCACTCTGATGCAGACAGAGGGCTCCACTTTCTACCGCTCAGATACCGTGGCCCAAGGAAAGCAGCAAGAGCAGGTCACCAAGGGGAGCAAGCGCAAAAACGAAAATTCCAAAGAAGAACGCCCCAAGGCCAAGGCCAAGGGGAAGAAAAACAAGGAAGAGCAGACCAAAGACGACGACAAAGCTACGGCGCCTGACGCAGGAGACGACGACAACGCTGAGGACGGTTCGGACGCACTTCCGTGGTAGGTAGTCAAGTCAGTTCAGTTCGTCGCCGCTGAAAGTTTTGGTCCTTGGATGGCAGCAGTTGTTGTCAGACACACCTAAATATCTAAACAAATAATAAGAATTGTTTTTTTCCAACGGCTGCCCTCCAATTTTGGAGAACAATCGGCAAACCCACTGAGTGAAACTCAAACAAGGAAGGGGTGTAAAAAAGAAGCATTGTCAAATTGTGCTTGCAAGTGTCTCACATGATTCGGCACGGCAGTCTCGCTCAGATGTTGACACTGAGTGACACTGAAACATTTCATTTTTATTGGCTGCCCAGGTGCTCTGGCTCAAGTCAACTGAGAGTATCACTGTTGCTGCGACCCCGCTGCTCGGAGGAGCCCGCTGAGACCAAGTAGGCGAGGGTGAAAGTTGCATACCCAACTAAATTATAATCACAAATCTTCCTAGACAAAAAAAATCAAGTGTATATGATACGTACGGTACACAGTTATTGAATATATTAAACCCAATCATCCTCCCCCACTGCTGCCAGGCTGATGACCACTGAACGTTCTCGTCGTGGCGACCGCCGTGACCGTTGTCGCCGAAAAGACGAGGAGAAACGAGATCGAAGCCGTGACAGACGGGAAAAAAAGAAACGCCGTAGCCGAGACAAAGGGCAGCGCAGGGAGACCAACACGTCTCACGGCAGCAAGCCTCTCCTAGTCCCAGCTGAAGCTGCTCCGGCTCCGGCTCCGTCTGCGGACGCTGCAGCTCCTACGACGAGAGAAGAGGCGTCGCACGACGACGAAGAAGGTGAGGAAGAGTCGGTTCTTGCTGAGGACCCACCCGTAAAGCCACCTGCAAAGCGCGCCGCGCCAGAGTCCCCGACCAGGGAAGCTGCCAAGGCAGCCCGTCCAGGTCCAGCCCAGGCTGAGGCTGTGGCGCGTCGCGACGAAGGTGACCAGCCGCCTCACCAAGGTGAGACGGAGAAGCGTGACCAAGGTCACAAACCTGATTCTGATGAGGAGCACAAATCTCAGCAAGCTGGGTGGGATGACAAGCGTCTCCAAGGCTGGAACGACGACAAGATTCGTCGGTATGACTGCAGCATCTGCGGCCGCAAGGTCGGAGGTGGAGTTGCCGGCTCGTGGCAACATCGCCGGTCAGCTCACCATTTGGCTTCTTATGTCTACTGGAACAACAAAGAGACCCTTCCTTGGAAGAATTGTCTCCAGGAAGGGCAACGCTGGAGCAGGCACCTCTGGGCGACGAACCAAACAGGTCCGGAGGATGACGCATTGCCCAACAAGCCTAAGAAAAAGCAAAGGTCTCCAGTTCCAGTGAGATGCGACCCGGAACGTTCCCGCCGTGACAAAGACCACCAAGACCCTGACCCGGACACAGGAGCAGGGTCCTCCGGTAGCAACTTGCTGCTGCAAATGTGGCAAACCACACTGAAAGAGCTGCGTTAGAAGGGTTTGTATAGGAGACGGCTGGTACAGTCTTCCCACCAAGCTCAGATGACTAGATGACGAGAAGAAGAAAAAAGACGCATCGCCGCCGGCTTGTGTGAAAGGGTTGCTGATTAATTAAAGTAAATTTGGACTGGGTAATATTTGTGGGATTGTGGTTAAATTTCGAACGTTCAATCTTTTCAGCTGTCTCTGGCTCAGAAGCTGGCAGTCCACCACTCACTCTGGTCTGACTCCGGCTGCAGTTCAGGCGGGGACTCGTCGTCGTTGTCGTCTTCGTCATCGTCGTCGTCGTCGTCGCGTGGTCGGTCGTCGTGTTCTTGACTTTATTTTGTCTACGGACAAGTCTAAGGTCTACAGACCCAAGTCTATGGACTGAGTCTACGGACTCCTGCTCCGATGTCTACGGACATTAATAATGAAGTCTACGGACTTCTTGCACGTGAGTCTACGGACTCGAGTCTACGGACTCAATGCAGTCTACGGACTCATGAAACTGACAGGGTCTAAGTCTACGGACTCATTGACACATTGACTGAGTCTCTATTCTCGTGAATGTCGGTCCATACCAAGACAAATCCGGAGTCCAGCCACACTTAATAATAAATATATGTTATTACTATAATAAATAATAATTAAATTTAAAACCATTCACACCCACATGCACACCCGGGCCAGGCCATGGCGACCAATACGAGCGACAAGAAGAAGAAAGCCAAGGATACCCGCGAGCGTGGTCGCAGCCGTGACCGCAGGCGAGACTGTGACGAACCTCGTGACCGGCGTCGTCGCAGAGAAGCAGATGAGATGAGTCCACCAGACGCAGACGCCGCTCCCGCTCTCGTGGCAACGACAATCAACCAGTCACAGTCCGACTGCTCGCCGCCGCCTCGGCTGCTGAGAGAGCTGCGGATGACAAACCACCTGCAGCAGCTGTGGCTGAGGCTGAGGCGGACGAAGACGAGGAGTCAGAAGAAGAGGAGACGGGAGAGGAAGACCAGGAGGTTCCTGACCCTCCGGTTCCTGCCCCGGCCACGGCCACAGAACCTGGTGACCGTGCTTTTGCAGCACCTGCAGCTGAGGCTGCGAAGGCCAGTGGAGCAGAAGGAGAAGCTCCAGGTGAGGACGGTCGACGAAAGCCTCGCAAGTCCAAGGACAAGTCTGACCATGACCTTGATCCCAGTCGAACTGAAACTCCTGCCCTAAGATCCCAACGTCCTCCTGAACCGGTGAATGGTCCAAGGACCGCAACCGTGGTTGACAGTTCTCCGGAAAAAGACGACCGGAAGCACGGCAAGTACGACTGCCGCATTTGCGGCCGAACGGTGGGAGGCGGTGAAGCTGGGTCATTCCAGCACCGGCGCTCTGCATATCACCTAGCAAGCTGGGTGTATTGGCAGAACCAAGAAGCGCGGGCATGGAAAGACTGTCTGACGGAGGGACACCAGTGGAGTAAGACCTTGTGGGCGAAAAATTCCACAGGTCCGTCCGATGAGGATTTCGATCCAAAGACCAAGAAGCAGAAGGCACCTCCGCCCATCCGTTCCGACCCTGACATGAAGCGCAGGGACCAAGGTCCGGGGCCGGGACGTGATGGCAGCGGCGGAGGGCCGGATTCTGCAACGACAAGTGGCTCGTCTAAGGACAAGCCGCTCTTGCTGCAGATGTGGCAAGCGACCCTCCGTGAACTGAAGTAGATCGGGTGTGCCTCGTCCGTAGCCTGCTGGTCGCCACTGTACAATAAGCCTTGCAGACACAGACCTCTTACTTCCACGCGGTGAAAATGAATTGTTGCTGCAGCAGTGACCCACTTCACGAAATGTATGGCACAGATCCATGGAAGTATTTATTGAAATTTCACGTTTAATGGCTGTTGTGAGTGTTTGGGTTCTACAATCATCCAATGAATTACCAATATGTATAACAGATCTATGGGTTTTTTGTCTTTCATGTGAATTTTGTTGAGAAGATAGCAAAAATAATTCCAAATTAATGGAAACAACCAAAACTCATGGATGTAAAATCATGGATGTAACAATTAAAAATGACAGTAACGGTTTTGGACATGAAACGCTATTCAATATGTAAAAAATGATCACTGGGGCATTCTAGAACCATTGGGTCATTCTGGAATCCAAGAATGCAACCACAAATGGCTCCTTTGTTTTTTGCCCAGTCCACCGAAACCTAAGATTGTCATGACATGAACCACCAAGAGCTACCAAGCAACAGCTAAACAACACCAAGTATATATATATAAATTATATAATATTTGTAGAAACGGGTTAGAAACCGCAAACAACCACGAATAACAGCTACACCCTGCGCAGCATTTCTTGAGCCACGCGTACACGTATATATATAGAGGTGAAATGACTATGTACATGGTGCACTACTCTGCAACAACACCCCCCGTGCAGTGGAATTCCTATACATAGGGGTGAAGCTGCAAATTAAGACCTATTAGTTTATGGAGTTAAGGGATGCCGTTAATGAAATAAACAACAACAACCAAAGAACCCCACCGAGAGTGGCCTGACCTTTCGTAGTGCTTTCAGTCATCACCTCAGAGTACGCAAAGTGAGCAAGGCTTCAAGTGCAAAACAAGACATGGCAAACCGTTCCATCTGACGTCAAGTACTTCGACAAACGGATGCGATGAACATCAATTCGGGCGAATGTATTCAGCTTTATTTTAGGCTCGACTGGGCTTGTGGTCGAACATGCAAGGTGGAAAGAAAAGGTCTTGGCCCAATACTAGGCCAGCGTTTCCACGCGGCAACAAAAGTTCTTGTGGTCGCCCAGGAGCTTGCCAAAGCAAAGCAATCTGAATTATGGCAAAAGCTGAATTCAATGTTGTGTGAACCCGCAGGGAAGCCTTTAGAAATGCTTCAAAGCTGCCTTAACTTCGCAAGGCAAGAGCTTCCGCTCTGCGGTACATGCAACTACCAGCCGTGTGCTATGCAAGAAGGAATCATGGCAAGAATAAAATGAGTGCCAAGTGCCAAATGCCTGCTTCAAATTATATGCATTCAAAGCGTTAATGAAACTTTTGTGAACTTGAATAGATTGGCAAAAATTCCGACTTAGCACACTTGTGTTGGAAATGATGGTGGAATCGCTCACCCACCTGTGCAAAAATGAAGCTAGTCGCCTAACCGAATTAAATCCGAAAAGGCAACAGCTTCCGCTGTGCGACACCGTTCTTTGAAAGGAAAATACCCCGCCTCAGATGAAGATGAATCCACCAGGCGAGAGGTTCCCCTCCGCGGTGCCTCAGCGATAGCCCGACCAACGTCGATCCCGGTATTGGTGGCCTTGATTTCGACGGCGCCAATCTTCCCACTCCTGGTCAGTCCACTGATTGTAGTAGTCATTCCATTCCTGCTGACTGTAGCCATGAGTGGGCCCCTGAT